GGAAGTTACCTCCCTGTCCCAACCAACCTGACCGACGACATGGAACCGGACAAAGGACGGTGGTCTTCCATGATGTTTGGCAAGTAATTCAATCAACTGTCACATGCGCCTTCTTGAGAAGCTGAATGGCTTCCCTTTGCTTCGCTGTGACTTCGTAAATCCAGTCTCGAAAGGCCTTCTTTTCAGCATTCACTCGCTGGGATGGCCATGTCCTGAATGTCCATTGGGCCATTGGAGTCCTTGAATGTCTATCCCCAGCTATGCCCACTCAGTCGACCCAGAAGCAGAAACCTATATATAGTGTCGACTGTTGAATCATACAAATGATGTTGTTTCAATCCATGTCTGGGGTGTCTTCATTCAAAAAAGTGGACTCAGTGGACATGATGGACCAAAACACAACAAATGTCGTACAGACATGCAAATCCGAAAATGGCCGGCCACTCCCCGCGCTCCCCCCCGCGCCACTGCCTCAGTGCGGACTTTCTGCTCTCTTCAACCTCGCGGTGGTCTCTTCGTTCCAAACGTCCGCGGTGGTCGGGTCCACGTTCGCAGGGCGACCCGGTCGAAAACCATGCAGGCTGGGGAGGTGTCTATTTCATGAGACGCCCCCGGGTCCTGTCGCCCCCAGCCATCTGGGTAGACTGGTCTAGTTCCCGAACCTGGCAGGGGGTCGTTGCCTGGGAGGTCAAGTTCGACAGTTCTTTTGGCACGAGCCGAAGGGTTTCGAGGAGTTCCTCCGAGTAAACTCGGAAAAGTCCGTGGCAGACGGATGTTGAAAATCGTCTTTCCTGGACTCCCGGGGAGTAGATGGAGAGGACAGTCACAGTTCGAAGGATCACTTTTTGGATACGGATGATAGCAGTTACTCCGGGGAAATTTACCATGGAGCACGGGTCTCAAAGTTGGTGCTCATTAAGATGGCACACCTGCAACGGTGACCTCCTGGAGAAATAGGAAAGCACCGGTTGAGACTATGTGGTTGAGGCTATGTGGTTTTTGGAGGTTAACATAGAACACTCTCAAGTAAGCATGGCTAGTTTCTGCAGCGGAACCGCAGATGCTAACATAGAATATGCCTGATGGCCAACAAGCAGCTATCTTGATTGTTCCACGTTAAACTCAACAGCGTCCAACCTTGCCCAGATTCCCCGGTTTGTGTCCACAGCTTTTCAATACTAACATAGCTCCAAATCTTAAGGACACGCACTAGCCAAAAGCAGCCACACTAACACGGCACAAGGATTTTGTATTTGTGATTTTTGAGATGTTAGCTTTCACCGGTGTATATATCTTCAGTTGTCAGGAACTGTCATAGGAATCATAGGACCATCAATTCAGAGCCTGACCCGAACCAGTCAAGAAGACGAAGACGTGTCGTCTCTTTCATTCGCTTTGAGCAAGAGCCCGAGTTTCAACGTATCCACAGGGATTCCACAAAACCCTCTTTTCTGGATTGAAACTAACCCAAATCCAGCTTGACCCAAAGGGTTTCCACCGTCATCGTTGCATGGTCAACCCTTCGTAATCCTGGAATCGAACACTGGATCATAAAGCCGGGGAAAAAAAAACAAAGGTGAGCAAACAAGTCTAGAATCTAGAAAAGGGTAGAAGCATAGTACCCCCATATCAATTTCCCAGCAAGAAGGGTTGAACAAGAAGTCATACATATCTTGACAATGAGACAAAAAGAAACCCTATGCCTATACCTGGAATAACAAAAGTAACTCACTGGAAAATGTCCCACTAAAAAAAAGGTAAACCCCAAAAACCTTAATCAGGTTTACTCTACCTTTTCATCATCTAGCCATCACTCTGTGCCCAAGCATGCCAAGTGAAACTGGGGCGAGTTCCACCTCTGAGCCTCTGTGACCTTAGAGCTTGACCTTTCAGCTATGGCTTTCCGATGCTTTCATGCTCCCTCCAGTGTTTTGACCCTCCCACCTTCTCCCCCCACGCATCAGGCAGAAAAAAACAGCTCCAGTGCAGCTGCGCCAGTTCTGGCGATCCAAAATCGTTCAACATCTCCAGCTCCGCCAAGGAGCATGTTGCTGACCTTTCGCATGGTCGCATGTTGAATCCGCAAAGCAGCCAGAAACTGCCTGGCGGCGGTCCCACGCCACCCAGGCGCGCTGACCATCGAGATTCACACACCCACGTCGTCTGCACGCTAACCAGTGCAATCAATGACCCAACGGCCTGCCCTGAAGGCTCCTGAATAAAACAATCAGTGTGATTGAAGAAATCCTGAAATCCATTGGTCTCAGTAGATGTTGTGTCCTGTTTGCCGGCATCTCCAGCGCACAACCTGATCACTTTTCCATGCACGCTTATCAGATCCTTTTGACAGGTGATCAGATCCTGTTTGATCATGTTTGATCCCCTTTGAAACATTTCTTGATCCCCTTGGACGATGTGTTTTCGGGATGCTGATCTTGTTTTGAATCCATGGAAATGCATGACCCTTATCAGATCCTGTTTGATGCAAGAATCATCCCTCAAGACCACACCCAGCAGCACTCAGCAAGGAAGTTCCAACTCTTTTCCAAAATGCACCCAGACTCGGTTTGGCCAAAAGGTACCCTATAGGCGGCCCCTCATGCCAAGGCCGTTTTCTGAAGGGACTGAGTGGGTGAACCCACTATTCGCTCAGAACGAACGGGGCCTGTGCTCGTGCTCACGCACCTTGGACCAGTAGCTCCTGGGAGCCCGAATGGGGCCGTGACTTGGGCTCCCAGAAAGAAACATGTGAAATGGTTCATGAAATGGTGCAGTGGTTGGTACCAGCACCCTCCAACAGGTGCTTCCTGGTGACAACAGGTGCCCAACAGGTGCCCTCTACACTTCCTCCATCAACAGTAGCATCATGAATCGTGACTCTTGCAACTCCTTTCACGAACCAACCATCTCTCCTTCCTTGATCCATCAATTCCACAAGAAAAAGAACAAGGAGCAAGTCTAACAACACCCAGGGTCACACCCACCCTCAGACTCCGGTCCAAATGCGCGTCTCTTCTTTGAGCTCCGAGTCCAAGAACTCCTTCGAGATCTTCCTCACCGAGTCTCGTCCACCAGCGTCGGTGGAACGAACGAATTGGGCAGAGAAATGGACGCTGAGTCGCTGCCGGAGGCACCAGAACGCCTCCGGAAAAAAGGACGAAGAAACACATGGTCGAACTCGCAAGTGCGAAAGAAGAATCTCATTCCAGAACCTGAAGGTTTTCACTGGTTTGTGGAGGGAGCATCCATCTTCCAAAAACCTTCCATGCCATCAGATTCCATGTGGGTCTCAGCTTCCCCGAGTGTTTTTCTCATCACTCCGAGGAGCTCTCTCGACGGCCGTCGGGGATCCTCGCCGGACCCGGGAAAGACCATTGAAAAGTGGGAACGACCTGGTTTTGTCGTGCAAAATCCTTTGTAGAAAACAACAGTTGGTCGGGATCACCCGGCCATTGAACGGGATCACCCGGCCATTGAATCAATGGTGGTGTCCAGGATTGTGCGGCTTACAGTAAACCATCGTCAAGTCGAGCCAATTGAGATGGGAGGCTCCTTCCCATGTGGAGTCACAATGGGTGGCTTTATCTTCACTCAGCGTCCCGAACGTAAGTCGGCAAGTCGTGCTGCTTGGTCTAGAATCACATGTGTTCTTCAAAAACTACTCCAATGAATTTGTTTATACTTGTAATATGCTTATATAATAAATAGCAAGGCATTATCGACATTATCTGGACCATGGTGGTCTGAATTGGCGGCGGTCCAAGTCAAACCATCCACAGACCTGAAAAATGTCTTGTTCATTTTCGGTCAGGGAGTTTTTCAGTTGATTGAAAAAGGATCAACGTGTGAGAATTCGACAGTGCGTGTGCTGCAAAACTGTGCCATGCAAAGCGGGTCCCAACTGTCACTCTCGGATACTCTCGGTCTGCTCTTTTTCCGGGGTCTGTTGCCTTGTGTCTCCATAGCAAACAACAAAAAGGGATCCCTTCCACGAAGCAAACTGCTGGATGATGCAAGGAGTTTGACCGGAAAATGGCGGGACCACATGGGCTCCAGCATACCTTTCCCCCACTGCATCTCACACCCAAGGCATTTTCGGCCAAGCGTCTTCGCTTGGAAGCTTGCTCGAATCTTCGTGACCTTCTCCTGGTGGCTTCGCCTTGGGACAAAACACCATGGCGCCCTCGGGACCCAGTGGATCGAGTCGTTCCACCAAAACGACGCCATGGCAGCGCAGCAAACCTCCGAGCTTTGAAGGTCCCCGACGGATCCCGGGTGTCGGGGTGTTGGATCCGTCCGGGGCGACACCAGGGATCCCTCCGTCGGCGTCGTGCGCCCGGTTCCCGGATCCGTCATCAGCTGTTCGGTTCGCCACGTTCGTCCCCGGTCGTCGGTTTTGGGGACATCCGGGTCGCTGGGGGTCCCACAGTTGGAGGCCGTCCAACACGGACCGGCCGATCTTCCCCGCGCGCCACGGAAGGACGTCTCTGGGCTCGTGCCGTGTTGTGAGAAGAAGGAGTCGAACTCTCTTCTCCAGAATTTCCGAAGTCATAAATCAACCACTACTAATGGGGGTAAAATGAGGCATTGAATGAGAGGTCGTGGAAGAGAGCTGAAACACTCCACCAGCCTTTTTTGGCCACACAACCCTTCATCCAGCATCAGCTTGAATCGAACTTTAAAAAGGCATCCGGGAGCCGATGGCTCCAACCTAATCTTTTGAACCGCACACCGAGAATCGAAGAACAACGGCGGATTTTCGCTGAGCCCGGGGAAGCAGTCACAGGCCGTCCTCTAGCCGCTAGCCCGACCATTCTGCCTGCATCTCCAGCCCAAGAGCCCACCCAACACGGCAGAAAACGACTTGCCCTCGGACGAAGACATCGACATGGACCCGGCCCTAGAATTCCAAACACCCCTGGGAGTCAAAGACTGTAAAATGAATGGTCTGACTAGGGTACCTGAGTTCGGGAACTTCCTATACTTCACAAAGAAAAAGTATAGTCGAACTGGACTTCTAGGGTAGACTATCTTGGGCACCACCGCAGGGTGTTCCACTCCACGAAAGAAACCCAAGTTGGGGCATGGATGGTCCTTGAGTCCAAAGAACTATGTCGTCACTCGTCTTAACGTGTTTTTTGAACCGATCCAAGCAAATCAAATCCGCCGGCCCACGTCTGAACCACCATCCCCAACCAGAGATGGTACTGTACCAACTGTACCAACTGTTTGCTGGGCTGGGAGGATCCGATCCAAGCGTCTCCTGTTTCTGGAAGAGCTCTTTGGACTCCTCCTCTTGCTTGTTCAGCTTGGCCACCCGTGCCTGCACGTTTTGGACTAGTGGCCAAGCTGTTCATCTGCCGAAGGCTTCCCCAAGTTCGAACACACGAACTGACGCAGTTGCCACGCCACGGCCCTGGGAAAGCGAAAGCAAGAAGGAAGACCCTGGTTCTTCCCTCCATCCCAGACTTTTCAACCCAGTTTGCAAGTATATAAATTCAGAAAATCATTTAATCCCTTCCACCTATTAAAAGAAGCACGGCCCCCTATTAAGAAAACCTCGGGTGCATTTCTTTTTAATAGGGGGTCCCTGAAATCGGGGTTGTCCGAAATAGGATCACCTGGGGCGAGCCTCTAAACCAAGTCACCCAGGAAAATGTTATATAGCATCCTTTATTAAACTCGTATGAACAAAAAAGAACTCCAGATCGAACGGTCTTCCTTTTCCCTACAAATACCTTTATTAGAATACTGATTCTTCATTAGACTAACAACTAAAGCTTTCGAAAGGTGATGTCGCTGTGCAATGCGGGTTTGCGTGACGTTGGCAAGTGCGTGAGTGCCATTGGGTGATCTCGCTGTGCCATGCGGACAGAGGTGGGCAGTTACGGTTGTTTTTGGAACCTAATAGAGAAAACTCCCCCAAAAGCCGCCATGTTGGTCGTTTAGCGGTCTTAAAGGGCGGCAATTCAACAACGCATATTGGTTCGGTAGAAAAGGGGGCTTCCGACATCACTTGCATTTTTAATTGGGTCCGTTTTTTAAATAGGAACTCGGGATTATATCAATCTTGCGCCAAACCTGAACTCCTGACCAAACCTCGCCTGGCCTTGCCATCAGCCAGCACACCTCGAAGCATCGCCAGTGCCGTGGAGACGGAGACCTCCACGCGGCGCGGACCGGCTTTGGCTCGTCCGGTAATCCCCTAAGAAAGACTGCTCACTTGCTTGTCTTGCATCGACCTGCTCCGGGTACCACACCGGCACATACAGAACCGCCTGACAAAGGCGAGATCTTCACTAAGTTGTCCGACCAATTTGACAATCCCAAAACCCCCCAAGTAAGACGTCCTGCTAGGACCAATGAACCCCAAAAACCCTGTTCACGCGACATCTCCCCAAAACAAACCCATCCAAAACCCACCTCATTGTTGAACTGACCCCATCTTTCCTCGATGCCACGTCCCCCCACCTCCCAACCCAAACCACCTTCCGAAATGCCCACCGGACCAAAGCAGGCCCGGCCGGACCGGAGCCTGCGGAGCTGCCAGTTCCGCCAGATGCCGTTCGTCCGCCTCCTGCGTCCGTCGGGCCGCACGGCGCGCCAACGAACGGACGAAGCACGGCGACCGGAAGGGAAGGCCGCCGGTTCGTCGTCGTTCCGCCAGAGCTCGGATGGTCAACTCGACCGAAGTCGGTCAGAAAGCCACCGAGTTTGGCGTGTGTTTTTGGTCCGTCTGATGAGGCTTTATCGACTGGAGGGAGCCCCCCTGCGGTGCTTTTGTGTTATCCTGTCACTTCAGTGGGAAGCCTCCAACATGATGTAAAGCCACCTGCTGACGATTTTATTAGAAAAACAGTGACAGGCTCAAGGTTGCCATCCCACCATGACATAGTTCCAGAAGCCAAAGGCTTGCAAGGAAAACTGTTCTAAAGATTTGTTCGACCGTTGGTGGGAGGGCCTCGTAAACATGGGGCTCTGATTGCTTGCACATAAACCCACACAAAAAGGACCTAATGACGTGCGTAAGCCGTAAGCCTTTGGTTTGTGGAAACCCATCTGCTACCTCGCCCGTCCAAGGACCTTGGATTTGGATGACCTTAGTAATGCGTCATGATGGGTGCGGCCAGTCATCCTGCTCCCCAACGACACGTCGAATTTACACCAGCAACAACAACGACAGAACGGTTCTGGGCCGTTCCCGCTCCTGTGCCAGCGCCACCTCGGCGTAGAAGCGATCGCTTTGCACCTCCGCCGCTTGTGCCTGGTGCGGCAGTGAGGGTCCACTGGTTGATGGATCTTTTGACTGTCGCTGATTAGAAGAAATCTGGACAAGTAGGCAGTTTGATCCTCAGCACCTGCGAAGTTGGCACAGGTTTGCAAAACAAGACCTTCTTCCAGCGCGTGGTTTCTGGTGCCCAACATTGAAGATTGGGCAACTCGAACGGTAGAAGACCCACCAGCGACAACGCATTACCCCCACACGACAGCAACAACGCATCTTCAGATGTTTCCGGCAACTATACCGCCGCGGGTCGAAACCAGGACGCGCGCGGGAAACTGCAAGAGTTGATATGTGCACACGCCGCCATCTTTGGGGTTGGACCTTGGTCCACAATGAGGGTTGCTCACGCTTGAAGACAGCGCTCATCTGTGATCTCAACTGTTTGAAGCAAGAACGACAAGTTGGCTTTCACCTGCACAGCCCAACAGCGTGCCACGGCGTGCACGCAAAAACATGGCCAGTCAGAAGCCGTCCACAAAAAAACCTGAGCCTGTCAGAGCGCGCTAGCACTCATCAAGAACCTCTAGCACTCAAGTTCCTCAAGCCTTGCGATCACGTCGTCGGCGCGGAATAAGAAGAACAGTTTTCAGCAGTGAAGAACAGTGCCTTCCGGGAAGCTGTCTCCTCTTCCGCGCTGGGCACCCTACCGATCCTCCGATCCTGGGGAAAGGGTTGAGAACAGGAAGCGGCATTTCGGAGGACCACAAGAACGAAGGACCACTGAGGGCCGCGGTGATCCATGAGACAGTGAGACGTGGATGCGTGGGCCCGTGGGCACTTCCAGGTATGTTCCACTAAGTCAGAATTGGGGAGCAAACGGCACAAGTTATTGAATTGTGTGTTGTCAGTTGTCAGATGAGAAAACTCATCCAGGTGGTTGTCCCATCTACTCTGCCCTTACCCTTGCTAAATGTGAATCTATTCACATTACAAGAATTTAAGGCATGACCTTTGAATTCCGACTTGCTCGTGGTGTTAACCAGCTCTTTGTCCTCAAAACTATCCAGGTGTGGCCGATGTCATCGGACCAGCGCTCCGATCGACCATCAGACCTTAGTAAATGGAAAAAAAAACATCATTGCACTCATTGCGCACCTGGAATTTCGGGATGGGTTGTGTCTCGTCTTTCTCGCAACTTCCTGTTCAAACTGTATATATCCCATACCCAAATCCGACCGTCCGAAAGCCGATGGCGGAGCGTCTCGCCAGACCCAAAAGTCCGCGGTGGAGCAGTGCCGAGAGCTTCGGAGGGGCCGGCTGCGAGGTGAAAGGGACTTCTGTTCTGGAACTCACTTGAAAGTGACATGGAAGTGGAAAAGACTCATAGGAAAAACCTTTCCTGACATGGCGCTCCAGGAATTGTTCCACTCTCGTCAATTCCTGCCAAAAGGGGCCGCGACACAGCCAAGAGGGGCGTGCCGCGCAGATCTGAGGGCCTTGTTCCATCCACAGGGAAGACGTTTTTCTCTCCCAAGGAGTCCGCGAAGGGCAGTGAAGGACCAAGGTGACGCCACAGAAGGAAGACCATGACTCTGGGAAGGCGGACATGGCCGCATCAATTTGAGCTTCAATGGAAAAAAAGTTACATGTAACGATTCTTTTTGATGCTAGAAATGCTATATGTCCTCAGTTGCAATACTAGCAGCATCATTTGTCCTTGTGAGCTGTTTGCCGCTCTCTGAACCCACGATCTCACTTCGTTTACCATGTCTTCCAGTCGATCAGGCTGGGTCAGAACAAAACTTCCAAGGCTTGGAAACCTTTCAAATCACTCCGTTCCTACAGCATGTTCAGATTTGGCATGCTCTCTCGATTTCAGCGTTTTGTTTGGGTTGTGCCGTGAGCTGTTTCGGAGATGATGTTTGAGTCTCCGATTAGAGGTGTCCAAAATCGATCGTGTTTTAGTTGAGCTCTCTGTGAATAGGTTACTGTACTTGTTCAATCTCCCATCTGTCGGTGCGCTTTCTGAATCCGCAACTAGTCCGCCCAAGGGGTTCTTCCCTAGGGCTCCAACCATCTCCTCAGAGGGTGTTTAGACACCCCCATCCCACTCCAACCATCTTCTCAGGAGGTGGTTGGAGCCCTAGGGCTTGTTCTTGCAGGGAAATCGCAACTCTGAAAGCAACAATCTCTAGATCATCTGCCTCCTTCAACTGTTCAGCATAGGACTGGATGGCCTGGGCATCGTGGACTGGCAGGGGTGGCGAATGCACCATCTTTCTCAGTGATCCTCGAGGTGGGGTAGGAATCATGTATGTGCTCTTGAGGCCAGGAGCAGTCCAAGGTGCCTTGTCCAATCTTTCGAACAAGCGCCAAATCCTGGAAGAGTCTACAGGCTTCCTTACATGTGGGCACTTCGTTACCTTGCTCAGGGTTCCACTTTCTTCGATCCAGCAGTTTGTCGTGCCCTTTGATTGCAGACACAACCCAAATGCTTCCAGTGAGACGAATTCCGATCCTTGACAAGTTGGTTGGAGGTAGACCTCGGGGGGATAGTGGACCAGGGAATGCCTAGCAGTCTACCTAGAATGAACCACCTTAAATCGGATGTGTGACCAAAAACATGATAAGTTAGACTCTTGATCACTCAAAACCCCGGTCTCCAGAATGGTTTTACTGCATCTCCAGGCGCCAGGGGGCATAACTGTTCATCTACCATCTACATGAACTGGTTGCTTGGTTAAGCCAAGAGCTCCAACCACCGCGCAAAGGAAGTCCCAGTTCTTCTGGACCAGTTCAGCAGTTCTGCGTCTCGTACGCGGTCGGAACGAGTTCAGATGCGTTTTCCAAGCGTGCACACGGCGTGCACACCAAAGCTTCATGAAGTGTCCGTCACCATCTGCTTGAAGACCAAAGCTTCATGGTCTAGACAAAATCCTGCTCAGTCTCTCCAACAAGACTATATATATAGTACTCATCCCTGGTCTGACAAATAGATCAACAATGAGAAGATGAAAACGTGCATCCTCTCAAACAGAGCAAACATGAACTCCAAAAGGGAAAGACCATCAACCCACGTCGAGGAACTTCCAAAGCGGACGATTCGCATGAACAGGAACCCGACGATTCGATGGACCTGCAGAATCCTTCCAACACCCAACGAATTCTTTCAAGCCGGTCATTCAAGCTCCGAAACCCCATCAAGAAACCGTCCACACCCCAAGGGCCTACGCCCCCCCCAACGCCCCTCCACCGCACCTGGCGCCTACGGTCACGCACGAACGCGCTCGCAAGGCCGGGGGCGCCGAACGATGCTGTGTGACACCTCCACGAGGCTCACGGTCAGAAGCACCAGGCATGGGGCCCCTGCCCCAGACCACCTCGGGAAGGGTCGGCGGAGCTTTTGCGCCGAACCCGAGAAGCTTTCGGGCTCGAGAGAGATGAGGATCCGATGGGTTGCAGGAGGACGCCATCAGTCTGTCTCGGAGTTACGCCCACCCAAATGATGTGAATCAATCCGTTTGGGCGAAGATAGGCGAATCGAAATCCACAGCGTTGGTTCCGGTGATGAAAACCTCTCATTCCTGGTTCCTTTCAATCCATGCGCCTCTGCCTCAGGTGTTTTCACTCCACCCTGCCAAGCAGCTTCATTGGCCTGAGCCCTCAAGCGGACCCGGCGCATGCGGCTGCCGCGTGCCCGGCACGGGACTCTGACCAGAAACAACGACAGCCGCGGCGTGCAACGGGGTCCGCAGTTCTTCCACCGAGATCAAAGTTTCAGGGATCAGATTTGGCTCAGATGGAAAAAAACGACCTCCGGGAACGCTCCACTTTTTGAGGCTCAAAACTCGAATAGGTGTTGAGAGCCCTGAAGGCCCTGAAGTGCCAGTCAAGTTCTACACTCTCATTGTAGAACCCCACCGAAGGCATGGCTATCCGTAACCACCGCCCCCAACAGAACCCAGACATACAAGCCCCCTAGAACTCGGTACTTTGACCATCAATCCGGAGGTGCTTCATGATCGCTTGAGGTGGAAAGCTGATGAAAGGTCATGTTCTACATCTTCCTCCTCTGCAGTTCATCTTCCTCAATGAGTGGATGTACCTTACGGATCCTTACAGTAGATCTTCGGAATCGATGTCCCCCCCGCATGTCTTAGCTTCGAAGCACTCGGACATCTGATTCAGAGACGAGCATCTGATTCAGACTCCCCGCCACCTACATGGTTTTGGGGCGCCTCTCTGGTTGCCAGCGCAGCCGCCAAAGGGGGAACCCCAGGGAACGGGGGAAGCCGACGCCAAAGAGCTGCCAGGTTACGTTGCGACCGGGTCTCCCACGCGTGAAAGCCAGAAAACAAAGCGCCGGCGCCCCATTTCACTTCAGGTGCTCCCGTGATTCATTTGCTGCACGCTCAGCCCGTAGACTCTACTAGTACTTCACTTCAGCTCCTTGGAATCAACTGGCTTCATCTCGACCTCACGGGACATGCTCAAGTCGAAAAAACCAGTGCGCCATTCCAGGCGGCTGGGACTGCCGGAGAGCTGTGCTGAGAACATCTCCTTTCCGTCCACAATAAGTAGTCTCGAAACACGTTCCACTTTCCCAATGCAGCCCAATGCAGTGTCAATATCCAGCATCAATACCAAGTTCCTCAAAACCCTCATGATTTGTGGCTTTCATAGAGGTTTTTCCGCTGAAACACAACCACCAAATGGAGTGTTTCGTCCGATGCTCCAAGTAACGATAGAAAGAAGTGCTCGTGGGAAGCGACCAATCACAAGTTTAATGTTCTGTACCTCTTCTTCGGAGTTCCAAGGCCCCAAAACATGTGTGCAAGTACTTAAGTCTTTGGACTCCCAAGTAGATAGAACAGTAGTTCCCCACTCAGAATGTCTTGGAAAAAGGTTCTATCTATTGGGGGACCACTACAAAGCTAGCTTGGGTATTGGGTATCTAGAAATCCTCAACGTCGCAAAGATCATCCGAAGTCGAGGGCCGTTGTCATGAGGCTTCCCTTCAGAGGCCTTGATACTCTGAAATAACCGATCTGCTCCTATGTTTTCCAAACGATTAGCGGAAGAAACATGAAGAAGCAAAGCAAGAAACACAAAAGAACAAAGAAAGGTCTGAAGTGTTTGTCCAAAAAGAAATGAAAAATACGAATTAGCAATCCTCAATTCAGCTCCAAAGCCCCTCCCGTCTGCATCTCCGGGCTTCCGCTCGCCACGAGCATGTTTCTTCCTCCACTCGCAGCACCGAGGGACATGGACGGACCTTCACCGATTGGGTCGATTGGTCCGACTGGTCCAGTCTGGACCTCTGTGAGTTGGTGGAGTCTGTGAGTCTGGGGGGTTTTTCACCAATCACTCAATCCCTAGGCTTTGAAGGACCAGTCGGGCGAACCGAGCATCTGTCTGGCCATGTTGGACCGAAACAGACCCAAACCAATCGGCAGGGACGGTGGAACTGGTCGGATGGAAGAGACCTGGAGCCCTCCATCCGACCAGTCCACCAAATACGTCGTGCCCGACCAGTCCATCGGTCTCCTGGTGCCAGTTCATCACAGCCAGATGGGGGCTCCATCTATTGGAGGTGGTCCTCTAAGCGCTCGGTTGGAGAGCAAAGAAATTGCAAGTTCTCAAGAACTCCCCTTCCAAGAGGATCCAGTTTGAAGAGCAAAAGCATTTGCATTCAGACTCACTGTGTGACTTGACTCTGTGTGTGTGTGTGTGTCACCCTCTCTCTCTCTCTCTCTCCACCTGTTCTAACCCGGATTGAAGGTGAAAGACTGACATGTCCAAATCTCTCGCCATGTGCCAAAGCAAATCAGTTCTGCTAATTGCCAACGACCAACGCCACCAACGGCCGGGCATCTCCTTTCAGCTTGGGCGCACAGCCAATCGCACACGCCCGGCCTATCTCAAGGACGCGTAGTTCGCTACGCCCAGGTTCGATCTCATGAAGGACTTCTGTGCTCCGCATGAAGGGGAAAAGCACTCCGCTGGCATGGCTCATCCCACATGGTTCAATTTGGACTCCTAGAGGCCTATGAGACCTATCAGTTCATGAGGATAGTAAACTATTAAGCACTCAGGTCCATCAGATTTTCCAGAGGGTCTGGGAGAAGTCATTGCTGAGCACCTGAGCACCTGTTCCCACCTGGCAATGCTGCTCCAAGTGGGTTGAAAAATTGCACCACACATCACGGCTCTGCACCACACATCATTACGCAGTTAAAAGCTTTGCTTCGTTGCTTTTCATCAGTTATCACCGAAAGTGAGTGCAACACCGAAAGAAGCTGAAGGACAGCCCAACCCGATTTCTGTGCAGCCCCGGCCCAGAAGAGCCAGAGCCACGGTGGGCCCCTGGTGATTTCCAGTGTTGACAGCCCGAGGCCGCCAGCGACCGACCTCTTCAGCTGGAGGGTGCCTCATCGGCAGCCCCATCTCCTGCGCTCTGGTCCTTGGAGTCCCGGTGTGAACGACCAGTGTTCCGCCGAGTGAACGACGGGTGCTCGCGGAGTCCGTGGAGTCCGGTTTGGAGGTTCAACCGAAGAAACTGATCTTTCGTTTGAAAGAGAGCCACCAGGAACTCTCGAGGCTGGAACTTCAAGTTTGGCTAAGGAAAGGAAGGAACAGAGATCATTTCAACACAAGCACCATTTCGACAAAAACCTGTTGGAGGGATTGGCTCCACCTGCATTCTCCCTTTTCGTTAAAGATGTGCCCGTCGAGTCACTCCTGATCAACTGAAAACTTGCTCATCTCCAGGAGACTTTTGAGTGTCGGACACTGCTTCAGCATCGCCTGAGGGATCTTTGCGCGGAAATGTTGCCCAACAGGAACCAGTTCCGAACCAATTGGTTCACCCGAACATTCACGTTCTTTGACACAAATGGCCCAAAAGCAAACTCTTTTGCGTGTCACGAACTCCTGGATGCAACAGTTTGGGTGTTCACCCAGTAGGCCTGCCTACTCGAACTGTGCAATCGATACTTCAGGATCAGCAAAGAGATTGTGCACTGCGAGACATTGGGGAGCAATGATTCCTCAAAAATATGCTGGCAACCTCCAAGTGACAGAGCCCAAGGCGGAACATGAAGGAAGCATAGCATGTTCTTTTTCGGGTTGAAAGAGAAGCCAGTGCCAAGAATCTGCCCTTCCGATGCCTCCCAAAGGGTGCGCCTGTCGCAGATGGCCTTCGCGGAGTCTTCTGGAACCTGAAACAACGGCTGTGGGTGCTACCGGCCAAAGCCCGGATCTTTGTCCCGGGGATAAACCAAATAGACGGCCGGAGCATCAGCCTACGGTGGGTTCCGGGCTCCAGCTTTCGACGTCCCTTTTGCGTCGCACAAGGCCGCCAGGCCTCGCGAGAAGTTCGAAGCGGCTGTCTAAGACAGGCGCTTTTGGAGCCAGCGACTCTGATCCATGCCTGGAAGTTCATACCCGAGCGTCAACTACATCCGGGCAAGAACCTTGAAGTATACATATGTATAATCATGTCCTTTACCAGAATGTCAACTACATCCGGCAAGGACTTTGAAGTACCTAATTTCCTCAAGGTAGAACGCACCCACGTTGAAGGCGGTGCAGGCTGACGTTGAAAGTTGATCAAATCCCTTGGTGTCATCAGGCAGCGGGATCTGTGCTTTGCACAGACATTGAGCATCGAAGTCGGCGCATCCATCTTCGTGTTGTATGGCCTCGTGGTAATGCTGCACCACCTTTCCTTGATCTGGGATCTTGAAAGGAGAGATCTTTCATCCCTAAGAAAAGAAGGGGGGTTCTACAAACATGGAAAAGAATAGAAAATAGACGCCAATCAGCGCTTCCAGGTGTCCGTTCTCGCACATCATCTTGTAGGAACCATACGCTTCGCGCTTGCAAGCATTGAGGGGGCTCACCCAGATCTCAGTCGGCTCACCGGTGCAACTGGAATCCGGATAAATGCCATACGCCCAAGCTGCCCCGGTCATATTCAATGAGTATTCAAGGTGTCCAGTGCGCTCAGGAAGCTGGTGAATGAGACTCAATGACGGGCCAATGCTTTTGTAATTGGCGTTTGATGTGGCATACTGGCAATGGGAGCTCCATGACCTGGTTTCTTTCACTTCTCCACTGCAATCCAAACTATCCCACTCAGCGTACATGAGTGAGTCATCAATGTAGGCATACATGTGGGAAGTTCCAAATCGCACCAACGGAATGCAGATATCAACTGCAAAGAAGGCATTGTCTTTCCGCCACGTCCACGAGCACGATTCAGGCTGGTAGGACTCCTCCACAAATCGTACCCTTGACCAATCAGCATTTGGGAATATGCTGTAATTTGATGGATACTGCCATGGACCACCTACCCAGCTTGTCAATGGGCCTTCAGTCGTGGTCTGTTGAGAGCCATAGGCTTCAGTAGTGGTCTCTTCGCCATAGGCTTCAGTGGTGGTCTCTTCGCCATAGTCATAGGCTTCAGTGGTGGTCTCTTCGCCATAGCCATAGGCTTCAGTGGTGGTCTCTTCGCCATAGCCGTAGCCATAGGCATAGAGGTTCCAAGTCGGCCAGGCCGTCGTGCTTAAAATCAGAGCCTCACAACAAAACTCACTGTACTCTCTAGGAGAGGAAGTGAAGGATCGACGACGCCTGGATGACAATTGACGGCCCGGGCGCTCCGCGTCGTCCTCCGGGCGCTCAGCGGCGTCGTCCTCACTTAAGCGGCGCCAACAGGGACATTTCTCGCTCTGAGTGCCACAGCCTTGAAGAGATAGAGCCGAGCCAAGCACAAAGACAAGCCGACTCACCCCACCAGCCAAGCCGACTCTTGGCGCCCTTTCACCCTTCATGAGGCCACCGACAGCCAAATACTGTTGAGCCGAAAGGCTTAAGCAATCTATATGTGACTAAACCCTTTGAAGTACAAATGTCTCAGCAAGTGTGAAAACGCTTGATTGTGAATTTTCTGGTTGGGGCAACCTTTATTCTCACAAGCTATGCCGACATGCAAAGGAACAAAGCCTGTTGCATGAGAAGTTCAAGAAAGAAATACTAGGCTCGTCATCAGCCTGGAAGCTCAATGAATCAATTCTCGTCGTGCCTCCACTTCCACTTCTTCGCTGCCCGGCCGGCCTTCGCGGATGATGGTTCCTATGATGCCCAAATTGTCATCTACACTGCACCTCTTCAGAGGATCCTTCCGTACGAACGCGATGGCCTCCAACAGCGATGGCCTCCAACCGACGAGCGATGGAATACACGACAGTCTGTCTTGAAAGACAGTTTTCGAAGCACCCATGAAAGATCTGCAAATTGGCATCCAGTGCCCAAAACCGTTGTTGGATGCTTCGGGGGACCATTTTAACTGCTCCCCCTGCGATGTCAAGGCTGATCGCAGGTAGG